TGATGTTACTCAACTTCATATTCTTTCCATTTCATTTTATTTTCACTGTAACTTATGTCGATCACTGAATGGGCTCTGGGCTCACCTACATAGCCATCCATGCTAAGAGTGGAAGGGGTATGTTGAATACAGAAAGGGCAATTCAGAATTAATTGCATGTTCTGAAGTTGGCATCTGCTCAACTAAAAAAGACAAAAAGCTTAAAGTAGCTCAAAAATACACATCTGCTCAGGACTTACAAAGCAGGAGCTCCCTGGTCATGTCATTCTTTACTTCTAAAACACTTCTCTCCAATACTCTTCTCAAGTGAAAAAACAACAAAGAATTTGCTCACTGTGCAGGGCAAACAGTGAAAAGACAGCGCTATTAAAAATATTGTGAAACACACCAAAAAAATTCAGAACAGGCAGAAAAGCATCTTCACATTCCATTCCACAGGTGGTAAGGGGTTGGCCTGTCACTGGCTATGAAAGATGCTGTTTGAACAGCATGAAGTGTGTGCTCTATGAGGCACAACTACGTTCCAGCTCAGAAGATGTGTGGGTCAGATGTACTCAGAAGGAGTTCATACAGCAGCAACAGTAGAGAGATTAACTCACAACAGTCACATATGTAGAACTCTCATGACTTTTTTTGTTGGAGCTAGTCATTATTTAACAGGTTCCAACTGACGAAAGTAGTCTTATTCAACAAAGTCCTCAACATGGAATCCCATTAACCATCTCCAGTGCTGGCAGCAGTAGCTATGCATATTTGAATAAGGCCCTGAGTTACTGAGTTTCAACCCTTGCTAAAATCCTTGCTGATTTAGAACCACAGGGAAACAGCTTGTACATCTTCAGATGGTTTTTAACACTGTAGTGCAAAGCATATTTCACCTGTTTTTATCACACTTGCATCAGCTTTACATTGGATACCTCTTCTGACTACAGCAAATTCGTCCTACACAAATATGAGAAAAAGGTCAGGACAGGACCATCCTCAACCTCCCTGATGTAAACATATGCAGGTACTTTTATACTATGTCATTAGGCCATAACCAGTGTTAACGTAGCCAAAAACTAGCATGTTGTGCTAAACCTCATCTCAGTTACCAATGGGAAACTAAAACAAATTAATCTCATCTACAGTTCTAAGCACAGGTTCAATAGAGCAATCACCATTAGCACAATCTGCCTGAAGGAAGTTTCTTATAAAGAATATGGAGAAAAAAAATGGAGTTACAGGATACTACACATTGTTTCTGGGGGTTTTACTTTTTCTATTGCAAATTAAGTATTTTACATCTCTAGAAACCACTTTCTTTGATGAAAACCACTATAAATTGATTATTTGCCAAAATCAAACTATCTCATTTGCATATATACATGTATGTACTAATGTTGTCCTTTAAGAAAGACTGATCACATTAGTCAAGTAGAACCCTATTTCTGCTCCCTGGTTTTGGCTGTTTATGGAGATCACAGGTTTTTCTATGTTCCACACACATATTTGAACTGTGTTTATTTTCACTACATCATGCATAAAGATCCTTCACACTAAGACTGCAAACATCTGCAGGGAAAACATCTCCCACAATCAAGTTTCAGTGCAGTTTTCCAAACTATCACTTTTCAACTCTACTCCTGGAGCTACAACATCTGAATTAAAAAAAATATAAATAAATGAAAGGCAGTAGCAGCAAACAATACCATTCACTTCAAAGCTTAAAAGAATTAAAATTGCACTGATTCCTGAAATCAAAGAGGTGAATCCATAGGTAAATCCTTAGGCATCACTTCAGCTAGTAAACCTGACATGTCAATTAAATGCAAGAGTAATTTATTCAATTCTCAGTCTAGTCTGACACAAAACCTGTACTTCCCCTGACTCCTAATTAGCCAAAGTACTTGTCTTCTTTCATGCAGATAATTTCATAACCATTAGTGTAAAGCATTAACACATTTTTCTTTCAATCATATTTTCCTCCTGTTGACTGACACACCTTTTCTAAGTGAGTGTACTCATGCCAGTTTCAGCTTTGTGGGAACTTGCCCCAAGGTCTTTAGTAAAAGTTCCCTCCCATACACATAAAACAATGATATATAATCATGATGCTAGCTATGTGAAGAGACATATATCTCACCTTAGAAAATATGAATGGAAAATCATGCAGTGGAGGAATGCAGCAGTTTCCATTTTTGTATATTTATGAAGCTTAATTGCACAGTACTTAACATACAGTAGAATGCAGTATGATTAACTCCTTGACAAAAGTTCAGGTGATGCTTCTCATTAAATAATTTAGGGGTTTTTTGACAGACTAGACTTCTTACAGGATGCTTAATAATTCTAGGAAAATAAATCAAACCTAAGAAATACCTTTTGTGTACACATGAAGCTTAATATATACAAGATCTGGCCATGTATGTATTTGGTATGTGGCTATTTCCACTAAACCATAATAAGTGTTGTTTCTTAGTTCTATTTTCACTTGCACTTAGAAGTGGTTTTTTAAAGATTATTATGAGACTTTATACATAGATCTGGTTGAAAAATGCACCAAAATGTCATGAAACATTAAATATTAAAAGTTTCAGCTAACTTTAAAATTCTTTCTAGTCTTCCTCTCATTACATCTCTGTTGGTTTACCTCCACAGTGACTGGAACTCACTATATCCTACAGAAGTGTCAGGAAATCAAGGTACAAGTAAAAAGTATGGCCAAAAAAAAAACCAACTCAAAAAACAAAATCGAAATCAGCTCCCTTGTATGAAATGTCCATACAGCCCAATTTGATTCACACTGTTTAGGAACAAATGATTTACTTCATTTCCATGTGCAGAGCCATTTGCTGGGGCTTCTGATGCCATCTGTCTTTTGGGGGAAGTTTAGCGTTCTTCTCACTCCCTGTTCCCCATACAGTAGCTCCTGATGCATGACAGAAGCAAGTCTGAGTCGTGCAAACTCATGCAATGCATGATCAGAGCATAAAATACTTGTCACCCTCCAAAACACAAATGGGACTGTGGAATGTGATGGCACATCTCTCCTGGGGGAGGCTCCCAGCCCCGCCTGCTCTAGCAATACGCTGGGGAGTTTCACAGCACCATCTGAACCATCAGGATACTGCAAGGACTTGCTGCACTGCTTTGCCAAAGGTACCTTGTGACTCAATCAAGGCAGATTTTACAGACATTACTTAGCCAGAGAGACTTATACTAGCCTGTTACTCTACCTCTTGGGCAGGCCTTATAGCCAGGGCTCGTCCCTAGGCTGCTTGAACTGGAGCACTGCCCTGTTACCAGGGCAAGACAAGGATGTCTACACATGATGCAGTGACAACAGCCGAACACAAAGTTGGCCCATTGTGGGTGAAAGGCATCTTTACACACAGAAGCTCCACGAGCTTATCTCAGAATCAGTGCAATTAAACTGGTACAAGCCAGTTTAATTAAACCAGATGCTCTTATGTGGGCTCAATAGAAAGTATCCTGGTTAGCTTGCATCTGAACATTTGCCAGTGCAAACTAATTCGCTTTTGAGAGGTTTAAACCCACATACGTTTCTTTTCAAATTTGCACTAGCTTAGCTAACCTATTACTAAAATGACAACTTCAGTCAAACTAGAACAAGTTTCACCTGGCTAATTATTTAGGGTTTTTTGGTTTTTTGTTTTTTGGGTTTTTTTAGAAATATTAATCTCTTTTACTAATCAGCTTGTTTTGCTGATTGTGGTGATGAGACTAGACGGCCCTACCTTTGATTATAAAATGCTATTTTGGCAATCCACATACCAAGGACTACTAAGACTGTAGTGGATGCCTGCTTAATACGTTACAAGGAGTACAAAGGAGCAAGTTCCTTAATCAAGGACTTCATTTGAACATCTTCAAGATCTGACCTAAGACAACAAAACAAACATTGTACCTGTTTATGTTTTCAATTCCTGATCCTGCTGCCCACTGGTCTTCGCTGTGACCTGACTTTCCTACAACTGGTGTGAAGACAGAAGTTACCTGTAATGCCAGCTGCAGAAAAATAGGAGCTCAGGCACTTCTGCAATGTTGACATACCATGCCTCACCTGAATTTCGCAGCTGTGCAGAAAAAACCCACCAGTTGGCTTACTCTGTTAAACCAGAAGTGTACCATTGTCCCCTAAGACTTTTTGGCTGTTGTGTTTTTACATGCTGCTCTACAACTCACAATAAGAAAAGAATGAAGACACCAAGTAAGATCAAAGCTAGCATTGTGTAACATGAGAAATAAACCCCAGATAGCCTAGAGTTTGTCACTAGCATGTTTTTCAGTCCTTCAGGGAATTTTCAGCGCAATGCAGTGCCTAGATAGGTGGACTCCTCCACTCATTTTGGTGGCCACCATCAATAACTGCCATGCAACCTACTATCTTTGGGAGTTCCAGTAAAATACAAGAATAACAAAAGGTAATGCAGTACTAGCTATTTCACTAACATGGAAACTTACTGTCAAAGATTATCCCTGATGTAAATTTCTTTCCATAACTACAGGGTCTTTCAAGATACTCTCATTTCATTCTAAATGAAGAAAGAAGGTGTTTTACTGCTGATTATCATTTTAAGATGGTAAATCAAAAGCTATTCTAACTAGAAATCATCGAGTAATAGATGCATGTTCTAAAACAGCCAATAAAATGCAGTTGAAACAGCAAGAGTGACTTTAGCTTAAAAAAAAAAAAAAAAGTCAAACAGCACTGGAAAGGATTTGGAGAGAACAACATTCTCAGTACCATTATGTAGACACAAACAGGGTTTGTGATTTTTCTCTTTTTCCCAAAAGTTTTCTATATTTCTGTTCTGCTCATTTCCTCACCTATGCTCAACAAATACGCAAAGAAGCATGAAGGTTTTTTAGCAAAATCTATTGCTTCCACCATTACCAAAAAAACGAAAATGAGCTGTTTTCATTCCTAGGACTATAAATTCTAAGAAGTGGCAAACTGCTCATATTATCTGTTAATTAAATGAAGTGTTAATTACCATTATTAAAGGCATCCTTGTTGCTTTTGCAGGAAAATGACATCTGCTGGTAAGGACCAGTGGACTTCCACAGTGCGCTGCTTAATGTTGACTGACAAGAAGTATCCATTTTGAGGTCCACCTGATTTTCACTAGTCCATGCAATATCAGAATTTGAGATGTTCAGCCCATACACACCATCCTCATAAATGAGAGAAGAATCTGATCCATTGAGACTGCTTAGAGACACACATACTACAGCTTCATTTAAGTACAACATATTTTCGTCCTGTAAGCTGTCCGATTTATCATTTCTCATTACCTGCAGAAGGGGAAAAAAACCCAGAGAACAGCATTTCCACCTTTGTCTGGCACCCGAATCATAGAATCATAGGATATCTCAAGTTGGAAGGGACCCATAAGGATCACTGAGTCTAACTCCCTGCTCCCCGCAAGACTACCTAAAACTAAACCATATGGTTATGAGCATCACCCTGAAGAATCCTTATACCAGGATACATAAAATTAGCTGCTAGACAGATGGGGATTTATAGCAAATAGTCACATAATTTCCCAGAAGTTAACCTCAAAACATATTAAATTGGATGTGTGTTCAGGAATAAACAGCAATAACCTAGTACATTTTGCCTTAACTCCCCTCAAAACACAGGCACTGAGTAATAATTGTGAAATAGCAAAGAGCTGCTACCTAGGATGCACTGAGCTCTGCTGTTTAAAAATATTAACCTTTCAGAGGGTTAATATTTTGCCTCATGGCTGAACAAGGCACCACTTCACATGTGTAAATCTGTGTACACTGCAATCCAAAAATAACACTGTACCTCACGTAGACAGGTAATCACAGAGAGCAGGACTGCAGTACTGAACCTGGAGATGGCAAACAGCATTCAGTAAGCAGCCATGGCTCCCAGGGGCTGAAAATGCAACTCCTGAAAAGACTCCCTGCCTGCAGGTGTTGATATCAAGGCCGAGCTCGCAAAAAAGCTGGAATAGCAGTGTGAGTTCCTGCAATGTTTGGCCTTTCAAAACTAGTGAGGTTCAGTGCAATGGCATAAACACTGGGCTGGAAATACTGCCTGACTTGCACACCACTCAGCCAGCCCTGCTGCTACAGGGAGCATGGTAGTGGAAAACGCAGGACACAGGCCTGGAATGTATGTAAGCCATGCAGTTTACTTGAAATAAAAATACACGTAGTCTCACACATGAAATACCAGATTAAGAACTACTACTCTTTGAGACTCAACATTTCATTACTTTGCCTCTTCACCTCTGTGATCCTGGCTACCCATGCATCAGTCTATCATCCTTCAACTTACTCTCCTCAACAGATTTCAAAAGTTCTATCCATGAAAGTTCAATTTTGGTTTAATAATCCACTTCTTAAGCACAGCCTGAAAGTCAAAATTGTACCACAAGCTATATACTAGTAAGAAGTGGCTTCATTGTTTGGGCTGGGCGAGTGTATACAGAAAAGTCGTGTTCACACAGTGCTCACAAAAGCTGGATGAAAAGGAGGAGGTCAGAGGCCAATCCTTCACCCCCTCATGCAGGCACAGGCTTAAACACTGAATGGTCACTGCCCATTACGGGTCAGTTGCCAGCTGAAAAACTAGGGAGGTAAGGGTCTGAAGAAAGGCTCTACAGATTTCCTTGTGAAAATGACAACCTCGGGGGAAAAAAAAAAAAATTGTTTGGGTCAGAGAGCTTTCAATATATGCAAAAGCCAGGCTAAATATTTTTATTTTCAGGTGCTTTAGAGAACAGTAAGGGAAATCATGACCTTACCCACCAAGACAGGGACTAGCAGGTGAGCACTCAGACATCTGAGTTCAGAGGCAGCCTCTATCCTTCACCCTCAACAAAAACTTAGTATTTTTAGTATTAAATGCTTAAGCAGCTTCAGAGCTACATTAAATCTAGCAAATGCAGCAGCAAAGCATAATAAAACACAGAATCTAACACTTGTAATTTCCACCTCCTCAATTTAATACCCACCAGCCTAAATTTGGCTTCTATAGCACACCCATCTTAAAATCACAGAATGATTTGAGACTGGAAGGGATTTCTAGAAGCCATCTGGTCCATTCCCTCTGCTCAAGCAGGGCCACCCAGAACAAGCTGTCCAGGACCACGTTCAGATGGCTTTTGATGATGTCCAATTATGAAGACTCCACAACCTCTCTGGCTAACCTGTGCCAGTGCTTGGTCACCTTCATAAGAAAGAAGTGTTTCCTGATGGTCAGACTTCCTCTATTGCCTTTGGTCCTGGGTGCCACTGAAAAGAGCCTGGCTCCATCTTCTTTACGCCCTCCATTTAGGTATTCATATACATTAATAAGAACCCCTATAAGCCTTTTCTTCTCTAAGGCTGAACAGTGTCAGCTTTTCCTCATAGGAGAGATGCCCAGTCCCTCAAAACAAATTTACGGCCCTTCAGAGAACACTCATCTGCCTCCCTTCATTCTAATCCCCCATTCCCTATACCATAGTTCTATGTCTCTCTTGTACTGGGGAGCCAGAACTAGACACAGCAACCAGGTGTGGCCAGAGGGGATGGATCACCTTCCTTGAGCTACTAGCAATACCTAGCCTTTTTTGTGGTCAAGGCACATTGTTGTTTTATGTTCAACTTAGTGCCCACCAAGACCCACGGGTCCTGCAAAGTTGCCTTCCAGCTGGGTGCCCCTTTCAGTATATATGGATGCATAGGGTCGTTCTTTCCCAGGGGCAGAACTTTGCACTTATCCTGGTAGAACTTCATGAGGTTCAAATAAAGCCCTTGGATATGCCTGAACCTCAGTTTTGCACACGCTCACTCATTACATTACCAACCAACAAAACCCAGACATACTAGTCTATTCACCAAGTAAAGTCTCTCTAGGTCTGCAGTGGGGGATATAATTACAGCAGGGAACCACACACCTCATATCTCCCTGTGGATGACAACAGGCTACTTTGAGGACCATGCTTCAGGTGCCAGAGGAGCTTCTTCTGCATGTTTATACTGTCTCTTTCTCTCTCCACCATTTTCTGGCCCTCCTGGAGCCTCTCCAAACTCTGCTGGTATTCCTGCAGCTGCAGTGCCAGCCCCTGTCGGCTCCTGTCCAGCAGTTCTTCCTGGCACCTGCACTCCCTCTCCCGCTGCCCCAGCTGGTCCTCCCTCGCCTCCTGCTCCCGCTGCCGCTGGTCGCATTCTCGCAGCTGCTGAAACTGCTGCTTCAGTTTGTGTATGTTGGCCAGCTCCACCCTTTGTTTTTCCAGATTTCGGTATTTCTCTTGTTCCAGGAGTAGGTTTAGCCGAGAACCATGGCCCCGACCAGTCTTCTCATTCTCTTGCAGGAGTAACCTATGGAGCTCTCTGTGGCTGTCCTGGATAGCTAATGCTGCCTAGACACCACAACAAAATTAGACACAAATGTTTAAACATTATCATTAATCCATTTCTGTATTTTTACATTACGTAAAAATGCTTCAACCTCCTATAACATCAGCACTTAATGTTTTTGGGGATGTTATTCCTCATGGAAGTAGGGAAAATTCTGTGTGCATGCCTTTACCAAGAAATGCTTCTAAAAGCACTCAACTATTTCAAGCACTTCTAATGCAGCTTCTGGTTTACACTTAGTGTTATTATATAAGTTTATATTATAGCTGTGCATATGCACTACACTTACAGCTGGGGTCCTGTTCTGTCAGAAGATGTTAAGACACATAGGAAAAATGATTTTTCATGGTTGAAGAGGGCATTAAGGCACTGGGAATGCTACACTCACCAAAGTGTTCCGAACATAGATGTGGCTTATACAGTTAAAACTGTACTGTTTCGAGTACAGCTCTCTCCAACCTTAAGGCTGTCCTTGCTAACTCTGCAACAGCACAGTCCTACTAACATCAGTCCTACAAGCACCTGCCAACAAAGTCATGTCATCAGGGCCGTACTGCTACATGCACTTGACAGAGGTATCTGTGCTGGCAGAAATCTGTAGTAATGATTTTGGTTTTGATGTTTCAATAGTTTACTTTATAACTGAGAGTGCTACATTCCATCCTTAACAAGGATGTTGTGACATTGTTTGCATTAAAGACTGTGACATCTTTCAATAACACAAAAATAAATAGCTGCAATTAAGAAGAAAGAAAAGCAAGAAAGCCCTAGGTCTGCTGAGGCACTTACTGCACAGCCTATCTTCACAAGCTGACATGGGAATTTACTTCAGCAGACATTCCCAGAGAATTCCCACAGCCCTGTTTCCCCATACCCCGGCGTTTTTAACTTAATGCAATGTGCAAATCCCACTTTTCTTGGCTCTCCCTCTAGTATTGAGTCAGTTCCAGTGATTTATAAACAGGGCAAGGACAGGACCCTCTGCTTATTTTTCTGCACCTTACTGCTAATTCATGGTCTGAACAACTAAGGCATGATCCCAAGCCTTACTTTACTGCCCCTCTGGTGTTCACCTATTTGTTTTTCAATTAAAAAAAAAAAATTGCCTGAATTGCAAGCTTTTTATTTTGTTTTTGCATTGTTCCCATTTCTTTAACTTCTAAGACCAAGGTTTCCAGGATTATTATAAAATATGCTAATGTTAAGAGGGTCTAAACATTAAACATACGCAAATGAAATAGTTAAAAATAAAACTGCACCTAAATAAGAAAAAATAAGTCAAACTTAGCATGAAAGTGGCAAAAATGTGAGACTAAGGCCCTACAGAATATATACTATTATTGAGATTCAAATATCTCAAATGAGTTGAGTTTGCTCAACCTAAGTGGAAGAGGCACTGTTTACTAGTAGCCAGGATATTATTCTGAACAAAATACTAACATTTTTCAATATTTTGAACTATAATTTCAGAAATCTGTACATGAAATTACACCAGTTCAGCTGGAGCTATCATCATTTTCCCCTAAATTTTCTGACAGTACACATAATCTTTCTGGGGGCAGACTGATCTCCAAGCAAGTATTATTCAATTCTTAAGAAATCTCCCACTGATACAGGATAAAATATACTGTATGACAACTTATTCAACAGTTGCTACAGGTAAGTATAGTCTGACATAATATCTATAAGGAAGGCAACTTGAAAACAAACCTTAAGACACAAATTATTAAGATTAATTACTTTACAAAGTTAGCAGTGGAGTAGTTACCTGCATACTGTACAAGAGACGGGTTAAGTTCTGGATTGCTTGTACAATCTAGAAAATAAAAGAGGATTTTCAAAGGTTTGACCACTGTAAACTAAATACTTACTACATTCTGTCTGGGGTTTAAATAAACTCACCTCTGTCCCTGTAGATCCTGGGAAACTCATACTTCCTCCCTAAAATAAACACATGTTGCTTTATAAAGTAGCTTTTAACTTCAGAATTGTATCATCTAGGTATTTCTTTTAAAATAGAGGAGACATTAGTATCACTAATATATGCAGTGCTGAGTCAAGTATTTTTGTGGGAATGTGAAAAAAGACAGAAACAATAACCTATGAAGACTAATAATTCATCAACACTGGAGTTTCCGTGGAAATCACTAGAGATTCTAAGCACAACTGTAAAAACAAAAATATTTCATCCACAATTTTAATCCTCTCGTGACTAATGCTACACAGAAAAGGCATTCCCATTCATTCTTTGTTTACTTGACAGTTTTGAAATACAGTAACCAGACTTCTGTACATACAGCACAGTGGGTTTAGATTACTTATAGTAGGATGAAACAGAACCAGATTCTTCAAAAAAAGAGATATTAATGCAGCAAGAAGCTAGCAGATGTCACATTAGGGGGCTGCAGTGAATGCCTTAGATGTACTGTGAGGTGCTGAGCAAAGGCTGTGTGCCCGCTATACTCTGCAAAACACACCAGCGTGGTTACTGTTGTCTGCTGCAGTGAGGCTCAGCCACTTCACTCTCTCCACCTTGCACCCCTTTCCTAAGAAGCTTTCTAAATTTATGGGGTGAAGCCACCCTTAATCCCTGCAGCATGAAAAACAGCTCCTCTGAGAAAGATAGGGTGAAACAGTGGAGAAATAAAATACAATCCCTTCTGAGGCTACGCTGAAAGACTTCCTGTATGATTTTTCACCTTTTTTTTTTCAGCGGAGCAGGGGAGGGTTTGAGGAATATTTGTGCTCTCAATCTGATTCTCCTAAGTTCTCTACTGAGTCTCATTTTCCACCACAGAGAGCAAAGCAGCTGCTCCATTTAGCTGTGATAACTGAAAATGAAGATGAAAAAGACCAGGCCCCAAAACACAGCTCAACACAGACAAGCTAGAGGGAAATGGAGCACCAGCTGCAGCATTTCCTCCCCTCCTCTACTCTCTTGCGCTCTCTCATTATCTCCCTTCAGTTTTTCCCTCCATTCCCTCTCCACATCTTCACCCTCTCCTCTACTTCTCACTGCACCCTCGAGCCACGTAACTGCTCAGCAGAGGACTTTGCACGGATATCCCTGTAGAGCACAAGTACTGACACAAGGCAGCTCCACTTCCTTTGCAGGGCAGTCAAGCTGGTCAGTGGGCAAGAAGGAAGTGCAGGGCCAAGAGGGACAGAGAGAAGAAAGAGGTGTTGGCAGGGTGAGGAATAGTAAGTGTACAAGGGATAGTCCACATGCTGAACAAGAGTGGGGCTTTCTTCAGTTTCTGAAGCCCTTTTTAAATTTAATACAGGAGGTGTACATGGGGATTGAAGGCTTAGCTGGCTTTGGCCAGCCCAAGAGCCTGCGGTCTCACTGCAGCACCACTTGAGCACTGGGCAAGGAGTCCAAGGCAGGTTTTAGTCATGCTAGCTAGAGTAACTGCCACTGCACTGCTACAGCTTCAGCACAAGCCCCAGAAGTCCAGCTAGGTCCAAAACACCACATTCAGCTGTTTAACATGTGCTGTGGGTCACCACCAGCACGATAGCACTGTGGTTCAAAGTGATGAGCAGCACTGGAGATGAGGACGGTCAGATCCCAAGGCAAACTGCATGCACAGTGCCTCAGACAATTCCCCAGAAGTGCGATTAAAAGGCAGGAGCAGGGGCCATGAGATGGACCTCTCACAGCTGCCCACCTGGCAGCCTATGTGTTGCACAGACAAAGCTCTGCCTTCTGACGTTTGGTCAGCATGTAACCCCCAAATTCCCGAGCTAGAGGCTTCCGCTCCGGCTGCCCTGCTCTGGGTTCCACAGGCTACCTGGCCCGAGCCCGGTGCTGCCACCCCACAACCCCAGGACGGCACATCCTGCGACCGGAGGCAGGCAGAACACCCTCCGCCCTTGAAAACCCTCGCCTTGCACGTTTCGTTTGTTCCTTCTGCCACCTCCTGGTAAGTCTGATTCTAACGTGGTGAGATGTGACGTGAGCCTCGGCCAAATAACAGGCCAGACCATTACTTATACATTTATATTAATTTCTGGTGGAAGCGTTTGCTACAGGTCCCTCTGGTCCAGATGCAGCTCAAAGCTTAGCTAGCTTCCACATTAAATGAGGTTGCTCAGGGCCTTCTCTAGGCAAATCTGGGAAACCTGCAAGGATGGAGACCACAACCTCTAGACAACCTGTTCCTTCTTGATCACAGTCACAGTCCTATTTCCTTTTTTTAAAAACTTATGTATGGTCAGAATTTCCCTTGCTGCAACTTGTAATCTTGGCAATATTTTCACGTGGAACTTTCAATAGGCTAGGTCTGAGCCCCTGTATCCTTTACTAGGTTATTTTATTTCCCCTCACCTAGCTTCTGTGCTCCCTCGCTTGGACTTGTGCTTTCATCCCAGTTTTTACACACACACTCTTCTTCCTACTCCCTTGTAACACAGCAGTCTGATAAGATGTCTTAGAGCTGAACATCAGGCAATGTTATAGGGAGCTCAGAGTATTAGCAAAAGTCTTCCAGAAACAGCTAGGAAAATAAGGCTTCAGGCAGACAAGCCCTCTTTCAGATCTGACGCAAAAACTGTATGCTAATGCTAAGTATCTCCTTTCCTAGCAAACTTCACTTTCCTTTTCAGGTCATGCATTTCTCTTTTTGTCTCTCCCCTTTATTCCTTTTGTGGTCCTGCTTCTCCACCTAAAGACTCCACAATTACAGTTCACTTTATTTACACACAGTAATTCATGCTACTCTTACTCCAACACTCTGCTGCTACATGAAATTTGCCATTCCTCATTTTGTCCAGAACTGACTTTTGATCCTCCTTTTCCCCCAGATGTTTATGTTTATGAGCTACAGGACTTTGAAAAAAGGGCACTTTCTCTTCTATTCTCTAATCACTCCACTTTGTTTTAATTAAAAATTCTGAAGCAAGCTGGTGTAAGAAAGACAATCCATCCTATTTTATGTGCTTGTTCTCAGGATAAAGTTCTCCTGATGAGTGAGTCTTGCTTGCATTAGCTTAGGTCTCTGTCATTGCAGGAGACTTTCCTAATCTTGTGAGTAGGAGGGAATACTACTGTCAAGCTCCACAGAGATGACGTATTGAATGATGACAGCAGAAAACTAGGCTCTTAAGTGGCCCATATAAGTGGCATGAAAACACTGTGGCTGTTACTACAACCACCTCTTTGGAAGCCTCTTTGGAAAACTGTTCCACATTTTGATTGTTTATGATTGCTTTTTTAGAAATTCATTATTAATTTCAGTGACCTGTATTGAACTATCTGAATTTGGGTGAAATGTGCCTATCCCATGCTTTGTGTTTTGGAACAGTCTTTAGATATCCCATAAAAATTGCAGAGCATTTACATTCCCAGTGCACAGAGTGCTATGTGAAACACAGGAAGAAAAACTGGTTACAGTACCTTATCCTCTAGATTGGCACCTGCTGTTTCCTTTTCAACACTGAGATCAACTTCAGATGATTCTGAAAGTGACAAATAAAGCCCCAATAAAATGCAAGAGAAAGGTATCAAAGCATATTGTGATTAGAGAAACAAAGGGCAAACCTTTTTACAGCTACTCGCAGAATGCTGAAAATAGAGATTTACATAATTTGGAGCTATAAAATGGTTTCTAGGCTGGGGGCATACAAATTTGGAAGCCAGGATGGCACAGGTAGGACAATTCAGGTCTTTTACCTCAAAAATTAGTAGTGTTTCACTTACAAAAGTTTGGAGATAAGTATAGCTGTACCACTAAAAATGCCCTGCCACAATTGTTTGTTTGCATTTTTGTTACAAGAAATTCATGCTAGCTTTTACAACTGAAATTACTAGAATATCAGTACCAATTTTCAGACCTTTTGACAAAAATAAGCTGACTTGGGAAATGGCCTATACTGCAATATAAATTTGCTGTAGAGTTCAGCAATAATGATAAGAAAGTATATAGAGATATGCAAATCTCACTCAATATTGCTGAATGCAGGCATGTGCAGTGGATGTAAACCATTCATTTAGTTAAATGAAGTTACATGACAATTTAGCTGTCTTTGCCTAAAGACAACTTTTATTACATTATTCTCTATTGATTCTGCCACAGACTGAGAAAGCTTTCCAAAAATACCCCAATCCAGTATCCATTATTTTAGCACTCTAAATATGTAAAACGCTCAAATTTTACTCACCACCAGAAACAGATTCCAAGATTTCAGTGTCACTCAGTCTATGCCTCACACTTAATTCCTCAGTACTTTCTTCTGGTGATCTGTCTGTTTCATTCTCTTGTAATGTTACAGCAACATGGAGACTTTCAACTAGAGAGGAAAACACACAGAATTACAGGGGCCCATTAAATGGCTCCTTAATGCATAAACCAATGACATCAGATAATAATTTAGCTTGGAAAGGACTTTCAGAGGTAATCTACTCCAATGCCCTTCTCAAAGCTGGTCGAACTAAATTGGGTTGCTCAGAGCTTTGCACAGAGAAGCTTTTAACATCTCCAAACATGGAAATTCACAGCCTCTCTGGGCAACCTTTTCAGGTTTTTGACCACCCTCATGGTATATACAATTTCTCCTTTCATTTACTGGAATTGCCTGTGTTCCAACTTGTGGCTCTTGTCTCTCATCCTATCACCAAGTGACTCCACAAAGATCTGGCTTCTCTGTATCCTCCTACTAGGCCACTGACAACAGCAATGAGAGCCCACCAAGCCTTCTTCTCTCAACACTAACAGACCAATTAACTCAGCCTCTCCACAGACATCATGTTCTCCAGTCCCGTAGTCATCTTGGTGCCCTTCACTGCTTATGCTCCAGTTTGTCAATGTCTCTCTTGTTCATGGGGGCCCAGCACTGGCCAAGGCACTCCAGACAGGACTCACCGGGCGTGAATAAAGGAAGCATCACATCCCTCAACTTGCTGGCAACTCTCCTCCTAATGCCCAGGAGGCAGTTGGCCTTCTTTGCCATAAGGTCACATTGCTGCCTCACAGTCAACCTGCTGTCAAGTAGGACTCCCAGGTCCACTACTGCAAAGCTATTTTCTGTCTTGTCAATGTCAAGCCTGTACCAACACATGCAGATACTCCATCCCAGCTGCACGAATTTGCACTTGTCTTTGTCAAACTTCTAGGGGTTTCTCTTAGCCCATTTTCCCAATCTATAGAGGTCTCTCCAGCACACTGATCACTTCATTTGGTGACAGCCATGCATTTGCTGAAAGTGTATTCAATCCCTTGGTTAACTTCATTAATAGATATATTGAACAGTATTGATCTCAGGAGCCACCCAAGCAGGAATTCCCTAATAACGTGTTGCCAGCTGGACATCCTATCACTGATCACAATCCTACCAGCCCAGCAGTCCAGACTTATTTTCCACCTAGTTATTCAGTCCACATTTCACCAATTCAGCTGTAAGGATACTACAGCCAGGGCATACACTGGTGAAGCTGCATGTTTTTTACCTAGCAGATGTCAAGGTAAACAACATGCACTGATCTCTCATCATAAGACCAGTCAGGGTCCCTGACACAACTTGCCCTTGATGAATCCATGCTGGCTGTTCCCAGTCACTTCCTTCATGGTCTTGGAAATGGCTTCCAGGAGGATTTGCTCTATCACTGTCGCAGAGATAGGAGTGAAGCTGACTATTTTGTAATTGCCTATATATTCCTTTTTCAAGACGGGTGTGATGCTTGCCTTCTTCAAGTCATCACAAACTTCATCACTGACTTTTCAAAGATGATAGAAATCAGCCTCACAATGACATTGGCTAGGTCCCTGAGCAGCCTTTCATTTATCCTGTCTCATCTCATGGATTTGTATATATCCAATTTGCTTAAGCACTCCCTAATTCTATCCTTCTCTACTTCTATATCCTTCTTTACATTACTGTGGGCAATGTCTTATTCCTACAGTGTCTCCTTTTACCTCAGGCACTTAGAATTTCTCTTCTGGAAAATGATCCCCACAAATTGCCTATATTGTATACCTTACAGTGTGCTGAAGTATCCTTCACTCCAAGACATCACAAACATCAGCATCAGAGAAAGTGAAAATTAAAAGTGGGCAGAATAGCTGCATAAGCATAGGATGCCATTTTAGCTAACATACTAACTATTGTATCACTGACATATTACTTAGCCAAGTTTTATCAATTTTATCAACAAAATGCACTCTAACTTCAGAATGATGAAGAACTTCACTGCTTTATTGGCTGAAATGTTATTAGCCCATAGCTCTCAATTTAGGTGATAGCTGCTGAAATCTTGTAGTCCTTCTCAAAGAGCATAGGTCCCATGCTGGATACGGCTTAGTTTACCAAGACTATTTTCAGTGGAGCTTAGCTGAACTTCCAACTAGGTAAGGTGCCCAAAAATACCATTCCCTTCCTTCCGCTGGAGGGCAGCCCTGTAGGTAGCGTAAGTCTAGCATCTGTTAGTATGCAGAAAATACATGGCTCTGATGGCAATTCTGGCAAGTGTTTCTTTGCCCATCTGCCCAGATCGTAGCATCATAGAATGATTTTGGGATGATAAGGGACCTTAAAGAGATCATCTAGTTCCAACCCCCTGCCACAGGCAGGGACACATCATCTGCAATTTGGTGTGTATATGCCCTACATGATTCTGATCTGTCACCAAATCCACCAAAGTAAGTGAAGGTGAGGGACCAGATGCAATATCATGCTGTGTTCTGCTTTGCAGGGCTGTATTACAAGGAGGACAGCTAAGAAAACAATCTTCAGGTGCAACCTGTCCTTATCTGCTTATGTATGTCTTTATGCACTAAACATATCTCTTATCTTACAATCTGGCAGGTACCATCTCATGCATCTGACAAGTATATATCTCTTCAATGCCTTTTGCCAAGTTTTGACACTGCCAGTTCTTCAGACTTGATACAATAGCAGCACAAGGCAATATGGCTGTACTTTGGTACCTTGAATTATCTCCCCATGTGAAGAGCCACCAGCTCACTCTTCCCATGCAAACTCACCTTCTCTGAGTGCTGCTGTCAGCAATGCAGAAGCCTGTGGAGTTTCTCCAGAATCAGGTTTGATAAGGAGGTAAGGTTCCACATGAACATCCCCAAACCCACTCATATTTCCCAATTCTGCATGGATATGCAACTTCTCTTCCAAACAACTACAGATCTGCTGGTCCTGGTTACTCAGTGATTCTGTCAATCAAAATGGAACACCATATTAGTATTTTTTATCATGTAGGCAAAGCACATTCCACATCCACCCTTCTTATCGTTATGGCACAACACAGACATTGCTGACTCAAGCTAAGCCTTTTTTAAGGAACCAAAATTGATTCCACAGTCTGTCCTTATGAAAGCTGGTAAAGACCCTGGCAGAGAGTCAGTCCAGTGCAGTAGCTTGATGAAGTGGCCTTGGCTGCGCTCTGGGGCCCTAACTACCTCCTGTACACTCACAATGATCAATGCTGGAAAAGCTCTTGGTCCAGGCAGAAAATGCACTGATTCAGTGCCTCAACATCAAAGAACACCTCTTTTCAGCAGAGGATGCACTTTCCTGTGGCTTTCTACAGGAAGGATATGGCTGTAATTTCTCTCCTCAACAGCAGCATAAAGATGTGGAATTCAGGTGTAGGGGAACCAAAGAGGCAGAATTTATCCCTATTAGCTACATTCTCAGATGAAAATAATAGCAGCAAAGAATGAAATGCCATAAGCAAGCACAAAGCCACACAATCACATAAGATCTGGTTACTTCCATGAACATGGAACTACCTGGCTCCGATGCTAATCTGGGAAATTCAGTGTTTATTCTGAAAGCATCTATTTTTCTTTTTCATACTTACGGTAATGTGGCAAAAATACGAAGTGTTCAGGGAAAAAAATGGTTCTCTTTCAGTAAAAATGGTTCTCTTTCAGTGAACTCACATTATACCATCAGAACACCCCAGCTTCTTCCACTGTGGCTCTGCCTATCAACCCACTCTGAACCCACTAGCCAGTATGGGAACAGGATTCATTCAACCTGAATTGTCAGGATGCAGGAGCTACCAGAGTGGCAGGAAAGGTACCACACCTTGACATTTCTGAATTCTGCATGCTTTGGCCTCAGCAATACGTCTGTCCTCATCAGATTCACTCATTTTTCCTTCTTCTTCTTCCTCTGGACAACTTCAAACATGAAAGAAAAACAAAGGTGGATAAATCAAAATCTGCACATTGTATATTTATCTTCAGTACAGTGTTGTGTTCATAATAAACAGAACATAACACCAGCACAACCTTCTGCTACAATCCAGAAGCATGCCATCTGTCTTTTTTTAAAAGCAGCAATGACATAAACCAGACTGAAGGATTCCTTTTAATTCTGGTAAGGCTGCATTGTGCAGCGAATGGGTGGCTGGCCCTCATGCAGGTTTGCTGTACTAAGCATAAGCTCAGGCCCCATGACGGGCAATGCTTTCCCTGCCATTCTTAAGGAACTGACACCAAGATAACAGGCATGATCGAGGATTTCCCCAAAATGGTTGTATGGACACCCGCAGGACTCTGGAAAGCATCCAATGCCAAAGGTAAAGGTAAGAGAATCATACAATGGCTGGTAAGGACATCTAATGGGGAGTGGGAAGGGTCTGCTGATTTAGTAGAATCAGAATCAGTGGGAAACTAGAAGTAACACGGGAAGTTTGGCAGAAGTGATGGCGAGATTTTGGGGCCTATGAATCCTGAGCTCAGTGGAAATCCCAGCCTCAAAGGATGGATCCAGTGCAGTGCAGAACAGAGAGCATACTGCCACAGATATCCAACCAACCTCCCGTCTGCTTTGGACTGCCAGGGTGAAAACCAGAAGCCTTTTGCTCTACCTTTCTACTGCATCTTGAATATGCCTCATCCAGTTGTTACGTTCTTCTTTGGAGTTGGTATGAACCTCATACATCTCAGGCCCTGCAGATGAAGCGCTGATCAGAAACATCCCCCTTTCTTCATTGGCTACTTCTCTTACTATGAGTCTCTGAAGGGAGATAACAGAAGGCTTCTGGTCCTGGGGGAAATAGAGCACATGCAAATAATAAATGACTCTCTTAGGAAACACCGCACTTTTAAAAGAGCATGATTTTTCAATTAATTGGACTAATTCTAATCCTGGTATAGTCAGACTACACATGTTCTCACCGGGTACAAGAGGCTGCAAGTTTTGAGTATTCAGGCATCTTTATAAACTATTTTTTAATATATAATATTTACAAGCAAGTAAAGGGCTGGATATGTGATTAAAAGTAAATCCCAGAGGCTAAGTGATACTGAGGCACAGTATTCATGTAACATTTTTATTATTTGGGTACTTCTCTCCATAACCTTTCCTACATTTTATGTTTGTTTACTACCACATTCGCAGTTAAAATTATTCTTCTGGTTTGTTTTACAGAACCAAAAGTTAAAATTTGTTTTAGATGCTTGAAAGAGCCTGCTTTACTTCCCGCTTTCATAATCGGATGAGGCATGACATCAAAAATATCATTCCGTAATTTGCATCCTTCTTCCTAAAAGAATTACTTAATTTTAAAATAAACTTAATTTTCAATATATTGATATATTACTGTTCTGAAAACATTAGCAGGGTTTAACCCTATGGGGAGAAAGAAAAAAAAGTTGGGAATAACCTATCAAACAACTTAATTTTTGGGAAATATATGAATAAACGTGCAATGTGTACACTCAAACATCTGATAATATACTTACCACAGCTGCAAAGATGTATTTTTGATCTTTTTCTTGTAAGAACAGTAGTACATCAGTTAGAAGCAAAGCTAAGGTGTCTTAAAATGAGAAAAGGAAAAGAATGTTTTTTAAAATTGACAAGGAAAATAATGTTTGTTATTTAAAGTTATTACAATTATAGTATAACCAGTACTCTCTCTATATATAGTATATATAGTACGATTACTGTATATACAATTATATGGGCATATGGACTAGACTGAGAGCAGCCCTGAGAAGGACTTGGGGGTGTTGGTTCACAAGAAGCTCAACATGAGCTGACAGTGTGTGCTCGGAGCCCAGAAAGCCAACCATGTGCCGGGCTGCATCAAAAGGAGCATGGCCAGCAGGTCAAAGGAGGTGACAGCACATGATTTTTCATACATTATTTTCAACAGCCAGTACTGTGAACAATATTATTGTAGAAGTCAAAATTCTATGTTACAGGATGAAATTGCAAACCAATGAAGTAAAGGAGAGGACTGAAAGAAGAAATGTAGCTGATTTGTATGTGAACTTGTCCTGTTACCCATATATACAGTGGATTACACTGAAACCATGGAGGCTTCTGCAACTACTCTTCTAGCAATTAGTCGCGTGTTTTCAACACCTCAGAAATTTGTGTTTGCAGTGCATCACAGTAAAGTATTTTCATTCTTAAACAAATCAATCTTCACATGTTATTTATAAACAAAGAGTTAAAGGACTTTACTGCTCAGATGGAATACCTTTGAAACGACCAGTCGCTGTCTTCCAATACACTAAACCTTCATGAAGAAGTATCCTCTCTTTCCTCATCAAGTCTTGTTTCCTAAACACATGGCCATTTTTCAGCTTGGTATATGTTTTGTTTTCAGTTCTACTGAGAATTTCCAACAGCTTTTGCTTTTTCTCATACTCATTCACTTTCAAATCTACTGCTGCAATCACATCCTTAATTAGACAAATGGCTTTGCACAGGTCTTTATGTTCTTCTGTCCCTTCTGTACAAAACAAAAAAATAAACATGCTAGTGGTCAGGATATTCAAGATAAGATATCATTCCTTGCTTTCTGTGAGCAATCAGCATGATGCAAAGTTTAAATTGATAAATATGCCATTTTAAGTTGAACCTGGCAATACTAGAAATATTGGAGGCATCTGCCTTTGTTTGACTTGCTTATTAAAAGACGACATGTACCTCAGATGTATTTCTAAGTCAAACCAACACATTGAACAGTTTCTGACATATTTATGAGCTGTTAGCATTTAAAAAAATTTACTGGCTAAGTAAATCATATAATATATTGAACCCTTGAAACCAGATTGGAAGCATAAAGGGTTTGCATTTGGTTATACAACTTTCTCCAATGCTTTTTACTGCCCATTTAAGGGGGCAGTATCTGTAAGTTATTAGTATTTCTAAAATGCTCTACAAAATTCCATCGGTCATGCAAGCTTTGTTTGAAAAACTGGCAAGTAATTCACAAAACATTTACTTAGCCCTACTTAAAAGAAACTCCACCAGAATTAATTTCAAAGAAAGTGCAGATACATGCCTGAATTAGTTCACATCCTCTAGTCAAGGTCTTCTCCTAAAACAAGTATTCTCTTCTAGACTTCTATGGCTTACTCAGCTGGAATACTGGAAATCTTCACAGCCCAGCCTTGACAAAGACTACATACAGTAGACACCCAGTTTAGGTGACATATGCCTGAACAGGAGATATTTCCCTTGCCCTGATTCTCTACAGAGCAGTGAATTTCACGTTTGGTTACACTGCAGCAGTGTATATCCCTTAAGTTAGGAATGTGCTATGATTCCAAACATGAAGCAACACTTTAACTTTTATTCACCTTTCGAGTATTGCAATATCCTTTCAACCAGAACAGGGTATTTGGTGATTCTCTGGGTGACAAGCAAAATGCACTCAGGGATTCCTCGGCGTCGTGCCAACAGGTTACTATTTCTCAGCTGCAGATACAAATACATACCTTAAGTAGGGAATGCATATTAAACCACCAATTGACTAATAAGAAATATGATCTAAATGCATTAGAATAAACTAAAGCAAAATGCTTGGTTATCTGAAACATCCCCAAGGAACATTTGCTGCCCTGACGTATGAGGTGTACTGTAACAGGAACATGTGTGTAATGCACACGGCATGCCAAAGCTTTCTAAAATTTGAAAGAAAAATGTAATTTATCGGCTCACTGGTTAAGGAGGAAAAACCTTTGCCATTTTTATTGGCCATTAAAAGTGAGTTACTGTATATTACTTCAATCCTAAATCGAAGCAAAAGCTACATGTCTTTTTCCTGAGCATTTTGTCAACAGCAATCTGTTTCCACGTAGACTTACTTTAATAAAATTCTGGAACTTCTTGTTTTGTTGCAATTCTTTGAAGAGATTAACAGCTTCTTTTTGATGGCTGCAAAACTCTCCATATATTTTTTTCATTTTAGTTGCATTTTCCTCTGAAAACTGAAGAAAATAGTAAGTGAATTGTGCTCATTACTGCACCTAACAGGAAAGCATATACCTTTAATTCATGTATTTTGTACAAATACAGAACTTTTATGCTACTTGTTTCTCAAGTTCTCTGAATTTCACTAAAAGGTCCTGCCACTAAGGAGTAAGTTGGTTTTAAGAGCAAGAAAAAAGCGGCTGGGTGGAGCACAAGCAACCTCCACTACAGTTTTGCCAGTAACAGCTAGAACAATTATTGTAACAGCGCTTCCTTCACCTCTCTGCAAACACAATTCCTTTAGGGTTATTTGCATTTGTCTGATCTCCACACCACTTCTAGACAAGACAATGGTTCAGATGCTTTATTTCAGTGAAGTGAAAACTGACTAACTGAGGTGAAAAATCACACTCTCTTGATTGCAAGGAACAAAGTGTGACCAGCAAGCAGATAGTCACCTGTTCTACAGCCACCATAGACACGCTGTGACCACCCCTTCTCTAGCGAGCAGCAACTCAAAATGAACTGTGCCAGATCACTAAAAGAAATGAAAGAGTAGTTTCTTTTCCAGTCAATTCTTCACACCTCTGCTCAGCTGTTGGAAAAGTGATACCATTGCTTCAATTTTTGGAGTCCATGATAGGACTGCAGTGGCCTTTTACTGAGAACAGGACCAAGTTCATCACTTTCCTCATTACTTGTACCACATAGGTAGAAATTCATCCCAAGTTCATCACACTTAGCTCTTATTAATGGTCTTTTCTCATTGCTGTTTCAATAGTCTGCAACAATCTGGAGGGAACAGCCTTTGAGTTTTATGAGGAAACCATAACCCTCTTCTTGCCCACCAAAGTTTTAAAGTAAATAAATTGTTCAATTTGGGAACCTTAAGTACATAAAGGATTAACAGAGCTGATGCTTCTACCTGCTGCACAAGGATGTCTCCAATTCTGCTGATGACAAAATTACGTTCACTCCCTGCCTCACATGATTCCTGCCGTCTCTCCTTCATTCTGCAAAAGAATTGCCTGTGCATCTCCAGTAGCTCATCTAAGCAGGGGAATACTCTGTCCACTGTGCTGTGGTCCAGCTGCAGTTCTTCCTTCATCCCTTTCCTGAATATTTCAGACATAATGAACAGGGTATGGATGTGATGCATTTCAGTTTGCATCAGCTCTGCAGTATAAAAGAAAACAGCATAGTATTGTAACCACCTGAACATTCTGCACATCTAAGACAGGCTTTAGCAACATTCGAATACAGTGTCAGATTTTTTTGTGTGAGCCTCAAATCTAATAGGTTATGTCAGTAGGAAGACTTAGTTTATCTGGCTTTGGCATAGTTTTCTCAACCCTACCCCACTGAACAAGCTGGGGTTACAACTGCTTGAGCTGGGGATCAGATGAGGTCCTTTCCAACCTCAACTGTTCTGTGAACAGGGTAGACAAGTCACTAGCAGTCAGCGCTCTCAATTTCCTTAGATCTAGGACACATTGTAATTTGTGACCAAAATGTTCTTTGAACCTTCTTATTATTCTGGGTTGAAGCACTCATCCTCCTGAGCATAAAATGTGTAGGTTCCCTCTCTAGTTTCTAAGCCAAATTGCTTTTAAACCTACATGAAGCTTTGAAATACTGACCAAAAATGACATCCTGCCTCTTGATGACATCCTTTTCTTGCTTTCTACAGAACACTGGTTCCACAACAAGGCTCCAGGACTCTGCCTCAAACTCTTGCGCATCTGTGTGGAGATCAGTCCACTGAGACAAATCCACATCATCTGTGACAAAACATATTATCTCATTAACATGCAGATCTACTCATACAGTAAGGGCAACACATCACAGGGATGAACTTTAGACAAGGCTTCTGCAAACATCAGCAGCAGCTTTACATTGGAGAAGCTTGCCAGATGTCAGTATCATTATCAAAGTGTTGAAATGCAAATGTGACAGGGAGAAATAGCATTAAAAAAACCTCTACTGTTCCTTTACCATATTAAATCCTTTTTATATTTCTTCTCTTAAAGAAACTTTTTGAAATTTAAAAATAATATCCAACGTTTTTGAAAGTAGATGTCCAGTGAGAGATACCTGTGCTATCCTTTCTAAGTGAATGCCCTTCAGCTCTGGAATCCAGTCTCACACCTAGCTACAGAAAAAGCCTGTATCTATTCACTTCACAAGGATATGTAGCCATTTTAGGAGGGCAGTTCACCAGTGGGAGGTAAGATTTTGAGGCCGCTGAGGAAACACAAGTCATGTAGGTTTATTTTTTGCCATGTATAGTGTCAATGGAGATGAATAGGTAAGTGCAGAAGTATATTGCTCTTCCGGTTCTGCAAGGATGCCGAATACATTTATCCCTGCTATTTTAAAATGCTACCACACAAAAACATTCTAAAAGTTATCAAAGATTTAATTACAAGGAAGAAAGGAAAAGTTGTATTTTAAGACTAACGTGTCAGATTGTAGCATTTTAATGAGGGACACAATTGTAATTGTAAAAATAGGTGCTCTTTCAGCAGATGAAGTTACTTCCTATATCCAATAAGGAGTTATTCTATTCTGCACTTTCTAATAGAGGTTATAAAATGCAACATCTGGACAATACTTCTCACCTTCCACCATAAAAGCATCCATTGAAGAAACAGTCCCTAACGCTTGTAACATCTCTTCAGACCGTGACTTGGACCTCCAGGTGCTAGTCTCAGAGTCTTGTTCAGAAAATGGCATAGATCTTCTACAGCAGGAAAAAAAAAATCCCACGTTTATTTGATAGTATCAATTTTCCTAGAAATTTGATGTATTTAGCATAGTCCCCTAGCAGCTGCTCTTTACCTTTCAAAACTTGCACTGGGAACACTTTTAGACAAGAACTGGGACTGTTGTGAGGCTTCCCTCTTTCCAGCAGACAGTCCAATAGGCATAGAGAAAGAAGAATGTGCTGGGAAGAGCACAGTTTGTGAAATGTCTCCGTGCAGGGAATCTGAGGCAAAGCACAACACATTTTGATAAACGATGCAAAGTACGTCATGCTTATACTAAGAAACACTACCTGGTGTTCATATTGACCTACACTGGGTATCAAGAATGCCCGCTTGCATGGTACAAGACCATGATGGTCTCCCAAAGAATATAAAGATAAGCCTGTAGGCAAAGTGGTATAGCTCCAGCATGGATATCACGGAAAACAATCTCAAATCACACATGCTCTAAACACTGCAATCTGAACATAGCAGACGCAAATATTTTGCATACTATAAATTACATACTCAAAAGCACAAGACAGAACTGACTGCTTTTGATTTTCATTCTAACTGAAAATAAAACTTAGTAAAATTCCCACTCATTTTAGAAGAAGATACGTTAACAGTAATTTCTTCAAAAAATCCCACTCGTATTAGCGACACACACACTTTCTTACAGATATTGAAATGAAAACAGAGACACACAAACGATTCAGGAAAGTTCATGCTGTCCATCCCAAGGTTTTTAACAAAGCTTAACATAGAAGTGCTAGGTTTACACCTCCTAACTTACTTGTTACACCAGGGGAGGGTTTACTTTTATTATGGTACCTCTCTTGGGATTTCTGAAAAAAGAAGAACTTTGTGAAATTGCAATGAAATCACAGCTGGTAACACACTGAATGGTCAAGTCAGTAACTCGCTTCCATATACCACCACAAAAAAGGGCTTCAGGAAAATGGTCCTAAATTATGGTCCTAATTTCTACTAATAAGTAATAAATGCAGGTTTACTAGTTAATGGTAGATAACAATAGGCAAAATAGAATTATATTATTTGTACTACAGTACAAAACTGAATCTGTTTATTCTAAACAGAGAAGCTTGCCACTGAGTTACAGCATCCTGTTTTCTCTATGTAACTATTGCCTGTCAATGCTGCAAGTAAAGGAGTTGCCATTCAAGCCAATTCTTCAAATAAGCTCGAAGAATAGGCAGGGCACTACCTGAGGAATCCTGCTTATCAGAGGCAAAATTAGTCCCCTTTTCAAACTGGACTTCTGCAAAACATGTAGTAAAAGCCTGCTGTGCTTAGGCATGTATTTCATTAGTGAACAGTTTCTGCACCTCACTGTCATTGAGGTAAGTCATGGGTGGTGGGGGTTCTTGTCTCCTCTTCACAAATAATCCACCAGCTGCAGTAATTAGAACTGCCACTTCAGCTGTCTTAATGCCCTAAAGTTGTCCAGAAATTTGTGTAAAACTATGACATGACAGCTGTAACCAAAATAGCAAAAACTCACCTGATTTATATACAGTTTAAGGCTTGTTTATGCTGTAGAGTCTGTATGGAAACATGTTCTCCCTGCAAGCCACCACCCATGCAAAACCCAGCCACACAGGGGTTTGAGGAGCCTTTCTTTTTAATCCGTTTTGCATCCCTCCTAGCACACTGTAATTAGAGCTTAAACCATGACAGCAACTCTTCAAAAATAGAAGTATCTCTTTAAACTCTTTTTGACACCATTCTAAAAATTGTTGTTCATGCATAGTGCTTGCTTTGTTTGCTCACATTGGATATTTTGACACCCTTGCAGCCTTTTGCCTACAGACACTGGGTCTGGGCAGACTGTGTGAACTTTGTTTTTTCTTAATGATGTTTTCAGACCCATTGGAAAACAGATGTGCTCTAGTAAGAACAGTGCAGTGTGGGAGGTTACCTTGGTGCACACAGGAGCACATTCCTTGCAGCTCTTATGCACAATCACGTTGCAATCTGAAAGAGAAGGCGTATTTCAAAAACTGGCACAGGGTCTCCAGCCTGCAGAAAATACTACTCTGAGGCTTCACCTTTTTCCCTCCTCCAGGTCCAGTTATTAAAGTAGCTCTGAGAATACTTTGATGTTACAGCCCTTGAGAGAAAGAAGTTTTTGCCTAATGTGCTGGGAAATGGTGGTGGTCCCTTCTGAATCCACGAACTGCTGTCCTTTCTCCCTCTCCCTTGCCAACCTCAGCTCATTACATAAAGGAGGACATCCAAATCTAAGTGAGGTTTCATTTTGAAACAAAACACTGAATCAGAATCTCAAGGCAGGATTCAGAGCACTGTAAGTTCACACACAAAAGCCAACAACTACTTACAAGAGCACTGCAGTGACTCTCTTCCTAGAAGCGCCTTTTCACAGGCCATACATGGCATAACTCCTGAGAAAGTCCCATTTGTAAAATTGTGCTTGTTCAGTTTATCTTTGGTATCTTTATTTTTTGTCTTCATCCCAAACAGCAGAAGTGGGGAGGGGGGGAGAACATTAAAAAAGAAGCAATTTAATCATTCTAAAATATTTATTCCCTGTCCTAGAAGTCTTGTAATAGTACACTGTATTATTACACACAACATTGTTGAAGTCCTAGAATGATACAGGTATTGGTTTCACTGGCAGCTAAGCCAGTCAGCATTATCATGGAAGACTGGCAGAAATACATTTATAAAGCTGCAAAAAGGGAAGGGTCAGATGATAAAATTTAAGAAGCGTTACTGACTCACTGCATACACACAGAAATACCAATGCCTACATCTCCCTGAGGCATACATGCAAACTTGTGCCTCTGCAGTTAAAGCTGCAGTTATATAAATTTATACAACTTGTCTTTAGGTCTCAGAAGACATTAGAAATAACCTATTTTTAATAGGGCCTTAATGAAACTAATGAATTCTGCCTATTTTTAAACTTGATGTGAGTACACATTTTTCTGGGCAGCCCTGGTAAGTTATCCTTTAGGAGACCACACAGACACAGGTTAATGTATGGCTGCTGGACCAGACATACATATTCACAGCCAGTTCTGACACTCTTGAAGATACTGTCTGAGCCAACCATCTTCAAATCCATGTACGTTAGGATATCCTGGGGCATGGGAGGGTGTACTAGAAAGACTGCAAAATTGCCAAAAGGCCAGCTGGAAAGATCCTGTAAGCCAAATCCATCTCTCAAGCTGCTGATCGTTGATGTTAATCTAAATTTCAGATGTCTTAAAATTAAACTACAGATGTTCTAATCTACATTTGGTAGTAAGTTTGTTTCAACTGTGAGGACCTCAAATCTGCAATTATTTAAGTAGTGCTTACTCATGCAGAAAGTGCCATTAACTTCAAATAAGGCAAATTCAACTGATTATATGCCAGTGTAGAAGTTCAAGACTCAGTTATTTGTTGAGAGTAATTGCAAGAACAGGCCCATACCTCTTTATTTAACAAAGAGAATTACTTTTGAAAGAAATTAATACATTTAAACTTCAGCTAAATGGTCAGATGAGATTATTAATAACGTCAAAATAACGGCAAGAGAAATACTTGATGTTGTTCAGCTAAGCCTATTGTTTAAAAAGAAAGCTGTTTTTTAATATGAAGGCCATTTCAGGGTATCCTGAACATGTTTTAAAATTAAAAAAATAAAGACAAGAGTTTCTTCCTATTATGTGGTTTTGTAATAAACAACAACTTATCTTTACATAAAAAATTAGATTCTCATATATAATTAATTTAATTACAGTGACATAATTATACATAATAATATAGACTTAAATCCTGAATTACCTTGCACTTATTTCGTGTGCTGGTCATTCTGTTCATCAGAAAGCTGAAAGTTCGACTCACTTTACATTTTTCAGACTCATTTTTTGAGGGTACAATATATTTATTCCATTCCTCCTCCTGAATCCTAAAAGAGAGACGAGTAAAAGAAAAAACTCATTCCCTTAAAATAAAGCAGAATCTGGATGGCGCTTGTTTCACCTAACATTTACAATTAATTACTTGTTATTTTGAGGATTTAGCTGATGCTATTAAAAACACTCTGCAAGCCCTCTTTAAAAGAAGGAGTAACGCTAGAATCACAGAATCAACTAGGTTGGGAAAGACCTTTAAGATCAAGTCCAATCATTATCCCAGGACTGCCAAGGCCACCACTAAACCATGTCACTGAGGCTGGCTTCTACACGGGTTCTGAACCATTCCGGCGTGTGAACACTTGCAGGGACAGTGACTCCAGCACTTCCCTGGGCAGCCTGTTCCAATGCCTGACCATCCTTTTGTGAAGAAATTTTTCCTAATATCCAATCTAAACCTCCCCTCATGCACCTTGAGGCCACCCTATCTTGCTCCACTAGCCCACGGAGCGCTCTGAACGTGCAGTGTGTCACGAGCGTGTGTAGATCACAGTTGGTACCAAATTCCCCTTGCTTTCATTAAGGTGTTTTGGACCTTAATGGTCCAAAGGCAGGTAGGAGCACATGCCAGCAGATGCCCACTGTGGGTCGTGAAGCGCAGTGAGGACAGCACTGAGAGCGCCAGGTTGAGGCATGGATTTACAGATCCGGTGGGCAGGGAGCGCACCCCTAAACCGCTGCTTAAAAACCCCGCTGCAAGAGGGGCCTTGGCCTCTTCCCTTCTCCGCTCCCTAGATGGCATTCTTGCACAGACCTGCTCCCGGCACCCTCACCGCGGTATGGTACGGCTGGGACAGTACCTTTTGTCCCGGGACTGCTCTGGCAGACTGTACGCTCGCTCTGCAAGACATGAACAGGTACAGGGCACTCAGGCTGCAAGGTCGTCACGTTTATCTGAAACGCACGACCTCCACAGGCCATAAGCTTGTTATTAAGGGCTTGCAATGTCATTGAAAATTAGGAAAGCAAAAACGTATGTTAGAAGCAGCTTTTCCTAGGCTAAGACCTCTGCCTAGTAAGCTTTATTTAGTTGACAGAATCTTGCCAGAACTGAGATGGATATTAGTCAATGCCAGTTTCTGCAGAAATGTTTGGTTTTAAGAATAACAAAAAATATTTGTTTTGTTTTTTCTTAACAACCCAGACTTGAATGATTCACATTTCTTTTGCTTTTTACATAATTTGTTGTAAAATATCTTAATGACATTCTTTTAACATTTGTAATTACCTATCTCATGCAGCTCTATCTGCAGTATTAAAAAATATATATAAATAAATTAAATCCCTCTATGTGAAGAGGACTATTACTAGTCTGGATGACGCACAGGATGTGTAGTGTGCTGTAAGTTTACATCCTACAAACAGTGGAGAGGACTCAAGCAGATACTTTTCAACAAACTACCTAAAAAGCAAAATTAAATAATTCAGTAGGGTTGTTTTGGAAAAAAAAAAAAAAATAGACACCAGTTTACCATTTCCAAATAAGAGACCATTCTGTCTTCCAGACATATTTTGTAAAGCTACTACAGGTATGGTTCAGAAGACACCAAAGAAGCAGCAAGACTAAAAGGGCAGTTCAGTTAGTTGTCACGCACAACACGTGCCTGAGGATGCTTTTGGAAGACACGAAGGCCATGTACCCACGGGAGATGAAGGCAGCCTCATGCAAAACAGCACTGCGGGGTTGGTGTTGAGGTACTTACTACAAGGGTGGAGCAGAGACACTGACTTAGAGAGTGAAAGAGCCTGAAGGAGGGATCGACCACTGTTCATGAGCACACCATCTACAGAGCAGGGACAAATCCTTTACTGTTACAGCCTGGTAATACCTTCTCAAATAAAAGCTGGTAGTGTTTTAAACCTGAGCATACCAAAAAGCTTTCATCAGGAATGGACAGTGATTTCCCATTTTTTTTCTCATATTTCGTGTGAGAAAGCCCATCCTATTGCCATCCCGCATTCATCTGCTTCAGCTTCGGTTTCATTGCAACATACAGGGTCAGCAGCATCTCCCTTCTGAGTAGCTAAGCCCTGAGCAAGATGTCTGAAGTGCTGGAAGCTGGGCAGAGGAAGAGGCAGGTTTTCAGTGTGCAGACACCTGCGCAGACCCAGACACAGGCACACTACAGCTCACAGAGATCAGGATGAACTACCTGATCCAGCTCCTTGGACTAAGCTCCTAGACCCATTCCCAGATGCAACTGCTCAAAGCAAGCCCAGCTGTGCCTGCCTCTCACAGTAATCTCACAGTAAGTTTGCCAGCCGCCAAACACTGTTCAATGTTCCTGTTCTTGCAGATAAGAGGAACGACACAGGATGCACTGGTGGCAGGGATGTGCTACCAGAAACCTCAGCAAATCACCACCCTCCCTCCCAGCAGTACAGCACACCTGCAGTGCAGGCTGCAGAACAGACTTCTTCCGAAGCATGGACAGGAAACCATTTCCACCTTCTCCACAAGACAGGTGAAGGTCTAGCACTGGTGTCCCAGGAGGAAGGGGAGAGAAGAATGAAAAGGACATGGGCCTGAGCCCAGACCAGGTCAGAGCAGGTAATGGTGTCTGGATGAAGACCAACAGTTCCTTAGCTTCAGGGTCAAAGGAATTCTGGTTTAACTTTAAGCACACAAACTGGGCTTTGCTGACCTGCCCATCCTCTGCTTCTGTCACATACTTCCCTCTTTTTCCTCTGCCTTGTTTTGCCAGATTTCTCACCTAATCTGTTAGATACAAATCACAGAATCATAGAATGGTTTGGGTTGGAAAGGACCTTAAGATCATCTAGTTCCAACCACGCTGCCATGGGCAGGGACACCTCGCACTAAACTATGTCACCCAAGACTCCATCCAACCTGGCCTTGAACACTGCCAGGGATGGACCATGGTTACAAACACATTAAGTGATACGGAAAAATACAACACAGCTGCATGCTGCAGTCTGCTGTACATGCTCCTCCTTACATGGGAACGTGGAATCGTATAGTTAATTTGAGCAACTAGAAACCTGCTTAACACAGTTTCTTAAGGAAAAAAGATGTCTGCAGTCAATGTATGCCTGCTCACCAACTTTCTCCATCTCACCTTCCAAATGGCTTCTGAATTTGTTACCTGGTTTCAAAGTTAACACAAAATTTCCACAACTTTTGTGTTTTTTCACATTCAGTGTCATAGTATCAAAGAATGGTTTGGGTTGGAAGGGACCTTTCAAAGATCACCTAGTCCAAGACCTCATGCCACAAGCAGGGACATCTTTCACTGCATCAGATTGCTTGAAGCCCCATCCAACCTGGACTTTAATACTTAAAATTATGGGGCATCCACAACTTCTCTGTGTGTTAATCCCATCTGGTTCACTGTAACTGACATGCCCTGCCTCTTGCTCAGAACTAGTGGAAAGCTAAAGGTACACTGGAGGGAGAGACAAACTGGAAGTATGACAATGACAGAGGAGAAGCCTCTTGAAATGCAAGGGGGGCTTTAAGTGATGTGATCTATGCGAAAAGCTAAAGGATATGTATTTCATGATTTGTATGGTTCTCAAGCATAACCCATGCCGTCATTGAGAAAAGTGCGTTGTCTTCTAAATACTAAATTACCGTTCAGAAATAAAGCATGTTAGAAACAGTTTGTAAAATATTACAAGCTTCTTGCAGAAACATTTCTGACTCCACTTGATGGAGAGGATGGGTTTTGTTCCTATGGAGATTACAATAGCCCATCCATGTTTCAGAGACTCCTGGGATCCACAGGAAGCTGGGCCATCCACCCTCTTTGACGCCTCTTGTGTGCCATCCAGATCTTCTTCATGTCTTCGCCAGGCACCCAGCGGGAGGCTGGGGTAAGGATCTTCCAAAAACATTACTGCCTTTGCCTGCATTACTGTTTCTGACCAAATGGTCTCCCAGTTTGTGCCCTCCCGAGGATCAGCTGCTGTATCAGTGGAGGGCATGATGGGACAGTAGATGGGAGAAGAGCAAGGGACAATGGTAAGGGTACTAAAAGACAACTGGACTCTGCTTTCCTGGATATTAGCAAGGTCCGTGTACAGGACAGGCCTGAATAAAGCTAAGAGCACTGGGCCTCAAGGAGGCAGGCAAGGGATGAGGCTGTGCAAGTGCAAAGCCAGAACACTGACCTTCACTTGAATCCCCAACTGCAAAGTCTCGAGGAAGGTGAGATCTTCCTAATAAGCCCTTCGGAGAGGAGCAGGAATAGGAGCGTGACCGAATCCCAGATACTGTGCATTCCTACAAGAAATTGCAGCAAATTAAAATTTGTGTAATTTTGAAATGCATCAGCAGCATAAACAAAAGAAGGCAGTGACAGAATTTCTGAAAGAAAGGTGGCTGGCCACACATGTTTTCTTGGCTTCTTTAAAGCTTTAAGTGGAAGTACAATTTTTGATGACTTGAAGTCTGTCATACTTCCACCATGATAAATCTTTGTATATTACAGAAAAAAATCTGTGGGTGCAAGTTAGACTAAAAGGCTAAGAGAAAACTCACATTCTTCTCCAGTTTGGTGGCAAGCACCATCCCAATAGCGTTGTAGTCATTATATCCAATGACCAAGGTATCTTCTTTTACCAAGGAAACCATTGATTTTAGTACTTTAATACCTCACAATCATTTAATGAAGACTTACACCCTGCATTGGTAATTATTGATGCCCGAGTTTCCGAAGAAAGGGGTTAGCCTCTTTCTCTTTTCTTATTTCTCTTTTTTTATTGTGTGTGAAAAAATTTTCTGATCCCCAAATATGTCAATGATAAAGCTTGAAAGGAACACACCTGATTTTTGATACATCGCATTTCAACAAAGCCTACTAATAAACTGCTTACCTTACTGTTTTTAGAAGTAGCCCTAACAGAATTCAGTATTTATGCTGGACTCTTTTCTCTTTTCATGTAGTCATCTGCTCAAAGTCAGGTAAGGCTCTACAGTGAGAAAGAGTCTGCCTAATAAAAATGTAAAGAATCCCTACAAACAAACAAACACACTATGTGTCTGAAGATCGCAGAAAAGGCACCACTATCTAATGAAAATGAGTAGTCAGGATACCTTAGAAAACCATGATGAAGAGGAGAGATTTACAGTCATCAATGCGCAAAACCCCCTGAATTTCCCCGACTCTAGCAACTGTTTTAAAATAGGCAGCAGTCTGGTTTTATACTTTACAAAGCTGTTACCCTTTCACATAACTACAGCTGGTTAAACATTTGCTGATTAAACATGTTTTGGTTAGAAAATGCTGATTCACTGAACCTGAGATATTTCCTTTGAAATGCTTCTGACAAATGATGCTTTTTTCAAAACTGAAGCAAATCTCTGATGGACCTTTCCCACAGCTGCTGCTGAGCCTGTCCACAACAGCTGGGGAGCTCCAGCTCCACAACCCCAGTATGTGCTGCTCTCCAGAGGGACTAGAACTGCTAACCAGGAAATCATTTTTCCCCTTCAGGTTCAGATGTTTCTCAGATGTTGTCAGTGAATTACTTAAAAGGAAAACAAGGCAAAGCAAGATAGTATCAAATACCTCAGGCTGTAGACTGGTGGATAAATCTAATCCGTATCTGCTACTAGCCATGGCTTCTGAAGAGCTGTGGGGAGGGTAGCGAACATGGGATCTGTCCGAAACATCTCCACTTCCACCATCTACTTCAAGGTCATCGAGACTTGAACTAAATCAGACAATGAAGTCTTTAATTCCCATTAATTCAAGTAATAATACATCTCAACTTTAATGCCACAAGCAAAATACTACTGTATACTCTGTTCAATGACAACCCAAAACACCATGATTATGTCAGGATAAGTCACACTCTTGAGGTCCTTCTCAGGTTTTTAAGTCACCTGGCCAAGGTTCTCAGTCACTCTGTATGGACGCGACCTTCTGGATCTGCAGATCTGCAGAACAGAAGTTTGCATCGCCTGCTACCACACAAACTCCCACCACAGTCAGACACTTGTGGAGGATGATTTTCAGACCAGTGTTTAGCACCTCCCTTAGAATATTTTATTCCACACATGGTACCTTTCCCCTCTATATCAATGATAAGGAGAACTGAGACAACTAGCTCAGATTTCAGTATTAAGATACGTGGGTATATATGAATATTTTGTGCATATATTTATTTGAAAGATACGATATGGCTATTCAAAAACATCTTTTTTTCTACATCCATGACCTGATGGAGGATGAAGGAGAAATAACAAAAGAGATGAAGGAGGGTCTGAGGCAGTTCATAAAATTAATTTCAAAAGCTGTAAGTTTAAAAACATATAGGACTATAAAGAGACTAAAAAATCTCTAGCTAAATCAATACTTCAAACACCTAGATACTATTTGATTAGTGAGATTCCTGAGCAGGAGGATGGGTCTCATTAGCTGCAAGCGCAAGTTCATGGTCTCTTCATCAGAGTGACTGGAAGGAACGGTTGACTGCTTGCAGTAACATTCCAGCCTTACAACATAAAACATTAAATTATGTGTGGTATTTCTAAATAGCCAGATTTCCTTCCAGGAATAATAGCACAATTCCTTCACACACCACTACAGTTCACTTTGTTGAAGGGCAAATCTACCAATACTGCCTAAAACTACATCCTCATTACACTTCTGGAGACCATTTTTCGCAATGTTTCCTAGTAATAGCCCACGTGACATCTCAGAAACAAGTTATCTAACTGCATTAAATTACTGTCGCATTTTAAAATTCGAAAAGTAATACGTGTCTATGTCAACAGTCAAGCGTATGTGTCTTACTGGGGGTAACTTACCCAGGGAACTTTTCTGACGTAAAAGGCTGGTTTAAAGATCTGCTAAGTAACTTGCCACATAGTAAAAGTAAAAGCTAGCAAAAATAAAAGGTCTGCAAAAAAATAACTTGTAGTCTGGTATCTGTTGTATTACCTGTGTTGAAAGATTTCAAGGGACTTCAGAGTTGCGTAAGAAACTCAAAATTAAGGTAGGGAAAATGTTATTCCCTGCTTTAGCTGATAACAGACATACTACTGCTTCCTTACTATTTTTACATCTATCTGATGCCCTACCTCCAACTGGTCCAAACACTTTTGAAAGGTAGGAGACAGATTCAGATATCCTCTTCTACAGGAGGAACTGATTTCACACCCCTTCTACCCAGAGAAACAGTAAAGCCTTTTTATCAAGGAAATTTACTAATTAGTAAGAACAAAATTTATATTTTCATCTTCAAAGCTCTCTGCATTCCTGAATCCAACCAATTCCAAGCATAACTCAAATCCATCTGGAGGAGGGTCCTCAGACAACCGTCTCTCCTGGCAGCAAAACTCACCTACCAGCAGAAAAGCAGAAAACAGTCGGAACCTATCAGAAACGCAGAGCTGTACTCCGTACTCTGTCTTTTGAAGTAAAAAATTTACGTAATCAGGAACAAGTTGGTTCAGGTTAGTGCAATGAATGGAAAGATTCCCAGAGAGTTCAACAGATTTTGGTCTATTTTCTTAACAGAGAACAAAACTGAGGAAAACAAGGGTGAAATTCTGGTTAAAAAAGTCTTCATAACTATTTTACGAAAACAGATCATTAGGACAATTTAAATATCAATGATTAAAAACAGTGATTTTATCTCAGTAATAATATTTATCACTACATATTCTTCTTCCTGTTTGGAAGTAAAAGTTTATAAAAAATAATCCTTATCTGGCCATATCATCAAGTCAATTCCATACCTTTTTTTTTTCATGTCAGCATACAGTTGGCCCTGATCCTTGATAAATCCATGAGTCTTGAATGAAAGGTATGAATCTGCTCCATACGGATCAGTATGTCTTACACCTGTATTTTCTCCATTCTTCACTGGCTTTTGGTTTTCTTCATTTGGAACATACACATATTGCTCATTCTTCTCAAGAGAAGGAGATGAAGAGCTCTTAGCCTTCGTAATTGAGTTGGTGGGATTCAGACATGTTTCACTTTTCACATAGTTAGTCTTTAAATCTCCAGCCTGCAGAGAAAAAAGTACTGCTGGTAAGAGGCGGTAACAAGATACATTGTCAAGGAACAAGGACCAGATTAGTTTTCCATTTTATTTATGGTTATATGTTTTGCATTTTATTTTTGCCTGTTATTTTTAGAGCACATGAGTTGAAGGCAAGTTATACGGTAAGAGATTCTAGATTTTGCATTGATTTTTCCATAATTAGAATAGAAATGAATTTGTATTTGCAAGTCTACTGGATTTCTTGCTCTTATTTACACCTTCTGTTAAATGTATTGATTCATACATTTATAGCTTTTATTAAAAATATCCTTGAGTCGAGCAAAAAATACGTATAATACATTAGTCTGGGAGCCATATGGAAGAGAACTAAAACATTATGCAATTTAATTTGGAAAAATCAGCCTACACATCACACACTTGATTTTCCAGCACCTATTTCCTAAGCTTCGTCTGAAATTAGCCAGCATCAGCAAAATCAGCTATTTTGTGAATGTACATAGAATTTAGAAAATCTGACTGCATGTGAGCAAGTTATATTGTGTTAGTGTTTCTTAGAATGAAGCAAACACTATTCAGCTTACACACACACACAGAAAAGACAGTAAGAGCTGCCTTAGAGTTCTTCCTACAGGCTAGGGAGAATAAATCCTAATTATCCACCAACTAAATCTGTTAAAAGGGATCTCATAAATGGGTTACAAAATACAGCTGAGAAGAGTTAGATATTACTGGGTTTATTTTAGAACTTTATTAATTGGGCATATACCACTGCTGACATCCAGAAGATCCCACTATCACACGAAAAAGTTACTTTAACAGAAGATGATGAAAAAATTGCAAAAAGATCAAACATAAGCTTACTTGGTCTACTACCATGCAATTTGCATATACTTCATCACTTCCACTCATCATGGCAGAAAGTCTGGTTGCAGCAAAGAAAGTAGGTGGAGCCTTGAGTTTCCTGAGAACATCAAGGGTAGAGTGTCTCTGATCTGGAAAAAAGAAATTATGGAAAGTATGTTGCTAAAATTCAAACCATTTTCTTCTCATGTATATATATGCTGTTATAAAAATAGCAAAGTTAAACATTAAGCACCAAATTTAAGGATTACAATATGAGTAATATTTGTGTGCCACTCAAAAATCTGCTCATTTTGTAATTGCCTAACACTTGCTGTATCATCCAAGAAGACTATAGTTCCAATCCTAATTGTTAGGGTTGGAAGGAACCTCTGGAGATCATCTAGTCCAATCCACAAATCATTTATATAACTTAAAAATAAATGTTCTTGTATCTTGGTTAACAAAACCTTCTATTTTCCATCTAAGCTAGAACTTCATGGAGATCCGTGGTTGTACAAGTACATCGGATAAGATTTATGGGCTGGGATGAAATATGTATGATTCTGGCCTATATATTAAATACCTAACATCTGATACATTATAGGAATAGAATACTGTTCAACTGCAGTCAAATAATGACTCTCCTAAAGCATTCTATCTACTGGAAGCTACATAAATATTAATCTTAAACCAATAAAGCAGATTACTGTTCTTAAAACAAAAAGCAACAAAATTATAAGAGGGATATAAATAAAATACCACCAATAGTGTCTTTACAGGGAGACAGCAATCAGTCAAGATTTGACCCATGAACAAGATGTTTAAGATGAAGACTGCATCTGACCTGCTTTTGATACTGAAATGAGAAGTTATCAGTCTCACCAGAAATCATTAACAGAAGTCCAGAGTTTAGTTTTCAATCGAGTGTTCCTGACTGCAAATATTACAAAAAGCTGCATGGGCTGACTATTTCACAGCTTTGAGCAGCAGAAAAACAAGTGCTACAGAAACACTGTCAGTCTGTCCTGCAGACCCACTTCTCTTAAAGCTGCTTGCAAACATGAAGAGCATGCACCCGTCCAGCATTTGCAGTCATAGTCAAGGCCTCATATATCTTCAGATTGTAAAAAGAGCAAAATTTGAAAAAGTGGAAACCAGTCTTATTCTAGATTGTGTGAAAACAGGCTAAAAAACAAAAAAAAAACCAAACCAAACCAAAACTAAAAACAAAACAAAACAAAGCCCACCCCACAGTTGTAATGTAATTTGCCTTATTTTAAGATGCTGTAAGTCAAGTATTGCCATTGGAAATGAACTGAGATAGACTAGCATAGAATGGTGTGACAGAGAAAAGTATCATACCGAGCAAAATATCTGAAATCAAAACTCTGAACAAACTTCATTCCAGTTTGTCTGTCATTGAAACTCATGCAAAAAATCTTTCTTAGTCTGTGTCAGAAATTTATTTTCTGCAAAGATGGAAAGAAAAAGACACCACTAAACATTTTCCCCAGGCTATTCCTACAGCAACGTAACTGCTTTTGGAAGACCATAAAATTATATTGCATGGTTTGGGCTAGAAGGGAACTTTGAAGATCATCTAGTCCAACCACCCTGCCATGGGTGCCAGGGACTGAATAAGAAACTACATTTGTCAAGGCCTGAGGTAGTTGTTCCTTTAAAAAACAGACCACTGCCAAAACTTCAATGCTACACCACAGCTTTTATTTCATTTTAAGATGCTATCTCATAAAGCCCAAGAACAGGAAGCTCTATACTTAGAGAAAACTGGAAATTCCCATTTAGAAACAGCACACTGTATTATTTCACTTCCAGTCCTGGCAGGCCTTGTGATATCTCATTCCATTAAAACATCCTTATGCACCTCATTTTGCTTCTCCCTCCTTAAATTTTAACATCATTTTAGTGACTGCCATCTTGAGAACTACCAATGCTACAAGCCGTTTCCTTATGTCTGCCAAGATCCCAAAGCCTTTGTTTATAAATAGTACAAAAGCATTGTTTTCTAAAGCAGTTTTTGGCAGTTAAAATCATATGGAAATGTGATTTGGCAAAACTGGTGATACTTTCTTGTGGCAAGTAAAGCTTTCCAAGGACAGCCCTTAAACCAACAACCAGGAAGAAAGAACCTATCAGGCTCTCTATTGCTTCTTGTATGCTTATTACCTTCCCCAGTCCATGCTCCCTCTTGGATACAAATCCACTGGGTACAACTGGCAAGGGAGGTATTCAGCTCCAGTGCTAGGCAGCTAAGGTTCAATACATATCCCTGAATAACAGCCCAGGCATTACAGATTCCCAAGTCATGGCATAACCCAAGCCTATGGAAACAGTTTCTTGACTTCGGCAACAGTCCCCACTGATAAGGTCTCTACAGTCAGTTAATAAACTGCACTATGAATTATATGTCCTGAGCCAGAATCAACAAAATCCCCGTTACTTCTCATTTTTGTTTATATATCAAGTACTAATACCACGTTTTACATTATTTTAAAATTCTGTAAGACGGTAACAACCTGAGCAACAATTTCTGAAGAAAGCTGCTGTAAATACAACAAGTTACCTCAGAATACATTATCTGCAGTACTTTCCATTGGTAAATCTTAACTGATTACCACTGCTAAACGCTGTATGTGTTTCTGGCAGTGCTCCAGTCAGTCTGTTTTAAAGCTGAGATGTCTAAATAAATATTCATTGGGGTTTAAATGAACACACAAATGGTAGCAGGAAATTTTGGGCTTCACATTTCAACATGACCCCATTGCACATCCTTACTCCCACCTCCACCCCGTTTCAACATGCGTGGAGAGACAACTACGTTAAACTAAATCTGTAACAAGAGAAGTATTTAAAGACTTTGCTGAATGAAGGGAAGAGCATTATTAATTACACATTGACGGTGCTAGTAACTTATTTCCACTGGACAGGCCCACATGGCTTAAGAAGTGATGAAACAGTTGCAAACATCCACATCACACACTGCATTCCTACAGCCCCACTAACTACCCCTGGCCTGCCTTGCTGGCTACAAGTTATCATGGTCTTACAGGGACCATCAGCAGACCTTCCTTCAGGTTAACACGGCAGCAGGTAATAGCCACTGTCTTGGGTACCAGTGCCTGAAAATGAGGTATATCAACAACATGCATTTTCAAACAAAATGTCTCAAAAATGTCCCCTACCCATTCAAAATGTTTATTCTTATTGCACCTACAGAAGTTCAGCACAGCTTATGAAATGACAGATAAGACTGCCAGGGCAAACTACTGCTACTTCTGAGAGTGACAGTGTCCCAAAGAGTTTTAGCTCTGTAAGGTGTCAGTAATAGACTTCAAGATGCTAAGGTAAAAATGACCCAAATATCTACTGAAACCACCCAACAAGCACAACTCATCAAGCTGACCGTCTTACCAGAGCTGAATGTTCTCTGGCTGTATACTGTGCCATGACCACAAAGAATAAAATAAAGGCATGTCTCCTTTAGCAGAGGCTGCAGCTCTCTGCCATCTGCCTGGTCATCAGTCAAGAAAAATGTATGTGTTATTTAGATGTAGGTGAACAAAAACCACAGTTCTGGGAAGGATTATCTCCAAACATGGGTAAAATAAAAGACCTTGACCAATGAATAACTAGGCACAAGTTCTCTGAATCTTCTGTGATGCTGTCATCAAAGTTGTACAGCAAAGGCTGCACATTTTACCAGGCACAAAAAACTTATAAAAATACTTTAAAAAAAAAGAAAGCACATGATCATCATAGCAATAATTCAAAACATGCTTTCTGGCGTAAGAAAATGTATAGCCTTGAATGACCTGTGTTGGAAAATGGGAAAGAACATAACACTGGCTGGTTTTCCACAAAAAACAAAACCTTAAATTGTTCTATGAGAGGACACAACAAAATAGAATTGAAATACATCAATGAGGCCAAGCCGAAAGCCAGGGAAGAAATCACAAATTCCCTTCTCCAGATACAATGAATAGTTTTCAGACAGCTCATCTCATTTACCCCCACCAACCTGTGCAAGGGTTAATGTATAACTGGAAGTAACAGAGCTATGAAGTCAGCAAAAAATGCAGACAGCTAAGTGCATGGACCATGCAATCCCTTAAATCCAGAAGTGGCCACCTGAATTTGGAGAAAGAAGTCCACGCATTCTTGGCAAGGGGCTGACCTAAGTGGCATGAATGTCTACATGTGGACCATATAACCCCTTCCAATGAGGGATCTGCATCCCTAACTCAGGTGTCTTAGTGCTTCATTCAGGCAGTGCAACTACTCATGACAGCAAAATTTAGCAAATACGTAAGAATAGTATTAAAAGGAAGGTAAAGTGAGGTAGGCTTTGAAGTGCTATTTTCATAAAGATGAATATTTAATGTCTTAAATCTACAGAGTGGAAACCAAAGCACTCTGCTTCCTATATAGTGTGTGGAGAGGATCAGGCATCCAGATGCTAGAAATCATACCATCATGTTCAAGATGAGATCTTAAAGTAACCTCTAAGAAACACTGAGGATAAAGGCACTTGTCAATCACTGTCTTTGATCTTTGTCACCAGAACATGGGACGCAAGAAAGCATCACTTTCCAACATGGGATTCACAACCCTGACCCCCCTCACTGAAGCAGGGACCTTACCTACTATGCAAATGGATATACAAACAGAAATAAGTTGGTGTCTCATGTTATACAAGAGCACAACAGATAAAGTACTTTCCCAAGGTATGGGACATTTCAATTCCCACCTCTGCCTGAGTGAACTTGTCGCATAATCCCCAGCTCCCAGCACAGTGGGAAAGGCCTGCTAGCGACAGGTATTCTCAGCATCCCTGAAGGTTGTTAAAGCCTCCAAAAAAGGCTCTGAGAGTCACTGTCTCTGAACAGGTAGGACTGTGCACTGCAAGAGGAGTGGCAAAGAGACCTAGTTTATGGTCATTTCTTGCAGCAAGGAAGAAAACCTAGAACATCCTCCCCAGCCCAATCACTAAAGATGTAGTTATGTTCACATTCTCTGCTGAGCCTAACTGACCTTTAATTACGCCACACACACACAGCCTCAGCAGGCTGGAGGGAGGCTTTGGCTGGCTCCAAAGGTGCACAGACTTCTCTTGGCTCTCGCCAGCACC